CAGGATTGGGTTTAGGGTTCAGGATTTGGAGGTGCTTGGTGGTGGTGGTGTTCCGTTCTGTGTCTCGGTGTGGGTTTATTCCGATTTTTCGAGTCGTTTTGAATTTTATGGGGCTCGTCAAGATCACTCAGATCCGAGTGGCTTTCTTCGGGTTTTACGGTTCGCCAAGAGCACGCAGATCTGGCAGGCAATGGCCAGGAGGAGGAGGAGGAGCAGGAGGATCGGATGGTGTTTAGGAAGAAGTGTTTTTACAACAGCAAAGCAGCAACCGTGATGTACTTTCTCCTCTTGTTTCGGGAATACGTAGGCGCCCGCAAGCTGCCTCGCAGATTATTCAAGACATTCAGAACACGACCCATGCTGCCCCGCCTGGAGCCCTAAACCCGCGAGCAGGCAGAACTTGTCCGGCCGGGACATTTAGCAGCGCATCGTCTGGTTCCTGCTCAGAGTGCCCGGCAGGGACGGCCAGTGAAGAAGGCCAGCCCCGTCAAAGTGTCTATCGAAGCCTGGCCCCTCAAAGGGATAAAGGTTGCTTTGAACGATCTGGGTGCTGTAATTCAATCCCAAGGGCTCCCTCAAATTCGTATCTCGTCAAAAGATAATATTCATGAGGTGATGTTGCCCTCCCCAAGTGAAGTTTTTTCATCGAGCCATGTTAAGGCCGCCTGAAGCCTACATCTTTAAACCTTTCATGTATAGTCATCCGCCCCAAGCTGCCCTAGACCTTGATCTGAAGGGTGTCTCTGCTGTTTGGCCAGTGGGTCCTATGCGATGTCAAGAGCGTTGTTTCCTTGGCTTTCTCTGATGGTTTGGTTATCTTTGTGGTGGTTCGGTGATAAGAGCTTCAGGTCAGAAGTTTACCCGCAGTTTCCGGGTCCCAGCTGTCGAGGCAGCGCCAGTTGCAGTCCCTGCCCCGCGGGTTCGATCAGCCAGGCGGGTGCAGCAAAGCAACGTGGCTGCAGGGAGTTGCAGGGCTACGGCAGCTTAGGGGTTTAGCAGCCTAATGTAGAAGCCTGAATAACCAATACTATTCCTTAGGGTTCCTTACTATAGTTACAGTATTAAGGGGCCCAAAACCCTGTTCTAATTATTAAGGTACTGTATGAGGAGTTGAATTTGGTGCAGGTAGAACGCACTTCCGGTACCACTGGAGCCTTACATAAGGGCTGCAGCCCTCGGCAAACTTATGTGCTACAACACCCGAAGGAGCCTTGCAAATCACCAAGCCAGCCCGAGAAATTACACAGATGTGATCAAATCCGTCACGGGCTTGCCTTCATTGTGGGGACTTGGGGGTCTATATGAGTTCTATATGAGTTCCAGTCAGTTCATACTCGTAGGGTTCAGGGCTCATGTTTATGGTTCGGGGTTTAGGTTTACAGGCGGTTTCATGGGCTGGCTGAGCCACCCAGGATAAAGCTATGAAGTATCCTATATGCCCTCAGCCTTACTCACGACTTTCCTGGGCCCGAAATCAAGTGAACCTCCNNCCCCCCCCCCCCCCCCCCCATAAAAATCAAGAATTTGGCATAGCCCGGTAATAAATTTATGAACTAATTGTTGTAGTCATGGTATATCCCCCAAACCCTACAGGTGCGAGCCCTGCACTGCTGGGAGCTATGCACTGTTTGCCGACGAACCCTGCCTGACCTGCGCGGCCGGCACCAGCAGAAGCTCAGTTGCAGATAACTCATATTCTTTCGGCTAGCATTCTGGGACCCATGGGTCGGGCGGTAGGTAGGTAGGTACAGTAGGTAGGTAGCTATATACAGAGCAATATATAGGGAATCTTGCAACGGGACAATGTCCCCCAAACACCAAGCGGGAGCTACACCGCGTCAAGGCAGCAGAAGCTGAGAGGCTGCGCCTGTATTCCCGAAAATCCTAATTGAAGCCTGGATCCGAAACACAACCTAATCCTCGAACGCTTGGAGAAACAAAGACCTTAAGCCGAAGGTCAACCTGTTCAACTCAAGTTCTTAACTCTGTAAACGCAACAGTTGCGTTGGATGTTTCCGAGGCCCGCGAGGAGCAGCTGAGTGCGGCTCGCACTGCAGAGCTTAGGATGAAGGTCTTAATGGGATTCCAGGGTTTTGGGGTTCAGGGTTACTCGAGGGATATGAGTTGAGGACTTTGTTTAAGGGAGGTCTTGGGCTTTGGGGTTTGGGATGGCAATAATTCGTCTATTGATCCTACTGCCGTTGATGATGTATACATTTGTGCTCATGAGCCTTTGTGTGACCCCAAACCCGGAGCTTCCATACCTCCGCCCAAGAGGCACGACGTGCCAAGCTGGCTATGTGAGCTCTGCCGGTGCTGGTGAATGCCTCCCATGCCAGCCTGGCACTTTCACCACCGCTACTTGGACAACTTCGAGCTATTTGCTTTTCGATATTGGGCAGGGTCTGAATAATTGCAACAGGCTTCAACCTGTACCTTCCCGGTACGGCTACAGGCTGTACTACTGGAGCTTTGCGTCCCTGGAGGGTGTGCGGTGTTCAGTACCGAAGACCTCAAACCCCTCACCTCGTTCTTGTTCATTTCCTGCCAGAGCCAGAGCTAGCCAGTGCTTCTCTCACGTGACAGTGTTTGAAAGCAGATGTTGGGTTTGTAGCATTCTAGGGGCGAGAGAATGCTTGCAGTCTGCGATGTTTTGGGATGCCAGGCATGCGCACAGACAAGGGTTTAGGCTAGAGCTCAGTGGATGTTCCGAGCCTTCTACATAAGGACCTTCAACAGTGTCGCACATGTCCAGCGGGCACCTGGAGCAGTATCTTGACTGTTTCCTGAGTGGTTTTGTGGCTTGGGTTCCGGGCGCCGGGTTCAGGCTTTAACATGTGAGATGTCATGAACTGGATGCGAGATCAGATGTTCTGGCTTTGCTTGAGGCTCTGATTTGGAAGGGGTCGATTTTTCAGATTGGTCGATGTCAATCCCTCTTATATCATCGAGTGATGAGTCACGACCAGCTTATCGTACTTCGCACATTCTCGGGTCACTTATTTATGTGCATGTTCGGCACAGTATAAGTTGCTCTTTGCGCCTGAAGCCCACTGCCTAAAATCCCCAAGCCTACATCATCCTTAAACCCATGCTGTAAATCACAAGTTCGATGATGACGAACCTAAGCCATTCGTATGTCTCTTTGTCGACGTATGCTGTTCGGGTCTACCAAAGCCCGTCTGCCAGAGTCCTGCGCGCGTGACGAATTGCACGCCTTGAGCGTCATAGGTATCACCCGAAGCTTCATGCAGAGAGCGCTTTGGGATGTCGGCAAGGGAGTCTAAACCGGAAGCCCCGAAGCCCCAGAACCCCAAAGCTGGAAGCCGAAATCCCTTAACCCGAAGCCCAAAGCCCAGGTATTGCAGCCAGCAGCTGTGAGCCGTGCCCTCCTGGAAGTCGCTCTGACACTGGCTGGGGCGCCTGTCAAATCTGCCCTCCTGGCACGAACATCCAGCATCTCGTCTCAATCTTTCAGTGTAGAGAATGGTGCAGCTAAGCTGGGTCCTCAAAGCATTTCAATCATTCAATGCCTAAAAGCGTGGGAGATATTCAGTGTAGTTGTGTTGTTTGTTGCATTTTTCGTTTGAAGTTTTGCGCAGAGGGCTGAGCAATGGAGCTCATGAGTTGACGACGGAGTTCGGCGACATGTTGAAATCGGTTTCTCAGATGTGCGTGTGACGGATTTGCCGACCGGCCACTGTTTTAAGGAGCCTTTACAGGTGCTAAGCAGCAAAAACCAGGAGTGTCGACCAGAAGGAGTCATGTGCCTGCTTGTTTACATATCAAGCCAGGCAGCCGGATGACCAATGTGAAACCTGTCCTGCTGGCACTTACAGCCATGCTGGCGCTACAGTGCGCCTTGGTAACATTTGGCAGCTGAGCTTTTGCAATGTTTAACGACGAGTCCATGTTTGCAAGGGGTTATGTACCTGTCCATGTGTCCGAGACTGTTTTATTCTCATTGGAATGACACGGCACCTCGCTTTGCTGCACTGTGAAAGGTGGGTTGATGAGTTTCATACGTCTCAGTCAATCGCATGTCACATGCCTCAGCTCGCGCGCTATACATATTCAAAATCGATATCGCAACCACCCATAGCCCTTTCCCGACCCAGGTGCGACATATGCGAAGCTGGGACGTTCAGCAACACGTCCTCGAACAGCTGCACTACCTGCCCTGCTGGCAGATACAGCAACGACACCGCGCCAGAGTGCGGCTCGATCTTGCGAAGACCCAAAGCTAAAGGGGTCCGACTTATGTATTGGGGCATGTCAGGGTCTAGGGCACCAGGTCTCTGTGGATTCCGTTATTGTTTGATTGCGAGGGTTCCGACAAAGTCCATGCTTGCCAAGATGTACAGCCCAGCATAAGTGTTTGGCATCGGGAAAGGAGACTGAGATGTATGTGCAGGCATCAGTCAGGATATTGCTGTTGGGTCCTGAAGATAATGTTATCCTTCGAAGCGGGACTTTGGTGGCCTGGATTCTCGACCACCTGCCCTCCCTCAGGCACCGACTGCCCCAGCGGCCGCTTTAGTCCGGAGCGCGCGGCCGTCTGCACACTCTGCCCGGCTGGGACGTGCCTCGACTTTTCTTTTTGTTTTAAGTTACCGGTTCACAAATTGAAGGAAATCCTACTCTCTACACTGTTTTCCAAGAGTTCGGACATGACGTAGTCGAGAAATGAGGACATGGATGCCCAAACAGTCCCTGCACTCTCCTTGATTCTGTGGGCAGTTGGCCTAATCTAAGATTGCAGTGGAAGAATCCCTTAAACCCAGCCGTGCATGACGACAGGCCCATTACAGTACAATGCTGTAGACTAGTGGTACTGGAGCCCAGATTCTCCAAAGCCTCATACCCAAGGCCAAAGCCCCTAAACCCAAGCCTTCAAACTGAAATCCTGAAGCCCTTGCAACCCTGAAATTTGTTCAACCCGGAAGCCTGAACTCAAATCAAGACCTACCTATAGTCTCCATTGTAGTTCCTTTTTTTTGGTTTAACCAGGTTCACATTAAGGATCCTAAAAGGTAGCCCCAAAAAGGAACTACAATGGAGACTATAGGTAAACCCCACGCTGAAAGCTCCAAGTCTGTTCTTCACGCCTCGCCCAGGATCAGCGGCGAAGCCTCTGGTTCCTGCCACTCGGACAGAGGTCGGTTCAGGAAGACAAAATCGGAGCCTACAGACTTAGGCTTAGTAGCTGAGACTTCCTTAAAGTGCTCACGTAGTTAAAAGTACACAATACCCCGAGGCCCAAGACCTTGTTCTATGTATTGAGGCTCCTTATGTTGGAACTGTAGGGCTTGGGGCTTCTTTGTTCTGCCAACTTTCACACTACACCAAACAGACAACAATAACCGATGCAGCAGCCAGCAGAACCAAAGAATTGTGCAAAGAAGTCATGAACTGCCGTATAAACATCTTACGCTGCCTCGTGATGCCTTGTCTTCAGCGTTCCTTGTTGGCCATCACCCTGGTTGAACCCACCCGGATGGAAGGCCATCTCCCAAGCAGCCTCATGTAAGACGCACTTCAAGCTCATCTCCCGAGCCACAGAATCTTTACGGTGCTAGGGGAAACCCTCGGCTCGAAGGCTGCAGAGACACTCAGACCCAGGTATGCTCTGCCCTGCTGGCACCTTCAGCGGCATTGGGGCCTCTGTCTGCAACGATTGCCCGGCCACGCGGCCGCAGAGACGGAGCTGCACCCTTCAAGGAAAGCCCGAGATGAAGCTCAACTCGCATGGACCTCGATTAAGCCTTCTTGCACCGTCGATCTGTTGTCTCCCTCTCTTTGTCTCGTTTGGTTTTGTGTTGTCGTTGCGTGTGCGTATTTCTCTGCGGCGGTCTGTGTGCGCCTTTGTGTCCAGGCAGGTAGACCTTCAGAATTCCAACAGAAAGGTGATAATTTGGCGTATTTTCAGGACCTGGCTGGCTGCCTGTATGTCTGTAAATATTCGGATGACAAAGAAATGAACAGATCAGTGATAGAACCTCTACAAATTAACAATCCCACGACCGAAGGCGGGCACGTTCATCCTCAGTCCAGACCAAACCTGCGAGATGTGTGCTCGAGGCGTGCGGACTTTCGCTTTGAGAGTTTACACAGGGTTTTCAGGTTTTTCATCCCATAATTCCTAAACCAAACAACAATCCAGCGCCCCTAGGCAGGGCGCAGGGTTCGGGCCCAGGATTGCAAGTTCTATCCGGTTTCGTGTATCTTGATGCGCCTGCCTGTTTTGGTGTCCATGTGGAGCTTCAAAGGAGGTTTACGATGTTTTTTGTGTTTGTGGTCTTGTGTTCTTGACGCCGTTTCCGGCCCCGAATGCATAGTTTTCAACAGGTTGTTCGGGAAGTTTCTGCCGTGATTGTACAAACTCTACACGGGATTGTGCTTGTGCTTCCGCTGGTGTAGAGGAGTTCTATGCTTGAAAACCCTGTGAGAAGCTCGCTACAGTAAGGGTTTGGGAAGGCGGTTTAGGGCTAAACAAGGGTTCATAGGGCCCCGAATCATAGACTTCAACCCACAGCTGGTCAGATGCAAGCCCGAGCAGGGAGCAAATCACATGCATGGCTCTGCTTGCTCAGAGCGTCAGAGAGGTCGGTATAGCACCACGGCGTCCACTGGATGCAATTCCTGCATCCCCGGGACCTTCATTACGGATCCGGTGCCTCTGCAGATGGTGGGGCGAACCGTTAGTTCATAGCTTCTAAGATTACCAGTATTGTGTCAACGTTGTTTATAGCCTTCGATGATGAGACTCTCATGACAAGGGTCCTGTTGTTTGGGTGACTTCTGAAACATTCGCTCACGTCCGCGAGCCTGTCATTTCGTACCTCATGACATGCAAAGGGGCCGTACAAAAAGGAGGCTCGTATATATGCCTCAACTTCAACACCCAAAACTTTGTTTGGGGTCTCCTGAGCCCCAAGCATCCCGTGGTTCCTAATTCAGGAACGGTACTGCCTCCACATATTCTCATGTCTCGGGTCAAAGCATCAGAAGGTTCCCAACCCTAAAACCACTACCCACCCCTTCTAGGAGCCCTCACAGGAACCCCTTGAAGGAAGCATCAAAGGAGAAGCCTTCAAGGAAGCCAAAGCCGAAGATCACAAGGCCTTGAACTGCACCTCCTGCCCGGCGGGCACCTGGAGTGGCATGGAAGCGGCAGAGTGCATCCGATGACCCTCGGAAGACTTGAATGGATATTTAGGGTGAGTTGGGCGTTTGAAGCAAAGGTGCAGGGTTTCAGAAGATTAAACAATCAAAAGTCTGGGCTTTAGCTGCTCAAGGTTTGAGGCCTGGATTCCAGAGCTGAAGGCCTGGGGGAGGGCAACCTGTAGATTCGCTTCTGGCAAGGGCTCAGAATTTCAGCTTCATGGTTAGATGTCCCAGCAGGCGTCACGGCCCTCAACCCTCGACCCTGCTTGAGCTTGAGGTATTTGGAGTCAATTAATTCTTGCTGGGATGCGGGATGCGTTATCAGGTGCCCATGGCTCTAAACCTTACATCTTCTGGGCTCCGAAAGCTGGCGTCTTCGGGCTTGTCTTTAGGTGTGTTGAGAGAGGTTGGAGGTGGGAGGTGCGCAGGGTCAGAGGTTCACGTTGACATTTTGTTGCCAGACAGAGTGCAAAACTAGCCATGACGTAATTGGTAACGGCATGACACCGGAGGCAAAGCAGCGACATGTGTAACTTTGTAATTCTGCTAGTTGACGTTCGAGAAGTTTCCATTTGTTCCCAAAGCTTTGTCCAGGGTAGCACAAAGCATTCCAACATCTCTGCCCGGGTCCACATGCTGGATCCCGAGCGCTGCACGCACAGATGGAACCCACGGTAGCTCGTGCCGAAGGCCTGCCGGGCGAGTTTAGCGACGAGGGCTCTGCCTACTGTTCACTGTGTCCTGCTGGGACCTACATCGAGCAGCCGCCCCTTGGCCTCCTCTTCAAGCAATTATGCAACAGGGTGTCGTGTTTAACATGGAAGCCAGAAAGTTGGAACGTCATTGCTCCCCCACACATCTCCTGGTATTTCAGCAAGACGATCGTCAACACTCGAGTCATGTTTTGTTTTATGCGGGCTTCTAAGCACAAAAAGCCAGGGGGGGTTCGACTGGTTTTTGTCTTGCTTGCTGTTTGCTGCAGAAACCCAGGAACGAGACGTGCATGGACTGCCCAGAAGGCTGCGGGTTTAGGAGTTGTCGCCGGGGAGTTACCATCCGAAGTCTCGTAAAGCGCTGAATCTCCAAAACATTTGGGTTTGCCTTTAGACTTATGGCGCTATCGAGTTTGGAACTGTAGAATGGGCGTTCGGTTCCAGGTTTGCGGGGGATCTCGACGGCTTTGCATTGACTTTTCGTCGGTCTTTTGGCAGGTGTCTGTTGAGCTTTGGAGAGTGGTTGGCGTGCAGTGTCTAACAGCCAGTGCATGGCAGCAGCATTCAATCATAGCGTCAGACAGTTCTGCAAGCCTCAACCCCACAGGCCCGCAGACTTCAGAGGTTGGACAACATTTATGTCATCAAAGCCGTATCGAATACAGTAGGGGGCCTTCACAATCGCAGTGGGGTTTTGGGGCATAATATACGCAGTATAAGTCTACAGAGATTTGGAGGGAATTTGGAACATTTTGGATTTCTGTTGCTATGACGGCTGCCAGGCACTTGGAGCTCGAGTGCCTCGGTCTCCTGCAGCGATGTGGCCGCAAGCTTGTTTTATCCGGGTGTGGTTCTCTAAGGTTTAAGGGTCAATGCAAGGGCTTACGGTTTGAGAGCTTTTCGGTCTCGAGGCCTTCTAGGGTTCAAATTTAGTCTTTCATACTTCGGCTGCAGGATGAAGGGGCTCGGTTTGAACTCCAAGTAACTAGGGGCATAGTCCAAAAGCGGCATTCTAGAATTGCATCTACAAATGATTCTGCCTGCACTTCGACCTGTGCGAGATGGGCGTCGGAGTCCTGTCCTGGAGTTCCCGTGCTTCCTCGCAAGTACTCCGAGATAAGCCAAAATCTTTCTGGCCTGTACTCTGCAGACAAGACGGTACCGGATTAGCGGCTCCCTCTCCCTCCACTTTGATTGGAGCAACGACTATAAGGATCTTCATGTCAAGGTCCGAATCAACATACATACATACATACATACATACATACATACATACGTACATACATACATACATACGTACATACATATACATATATATATATATTGAATATATTGTATACATACATACATCAGGAGGCCACGAGTTTCAACTGCCTTGAGAACCTTGCTGAGGCGACTGCCTTCCAGGTCGTTTCCGTGGCAATGGCACCGGCTGCGAGAGCCCTTGGGCCGACATCGCGAGGGATCCTACTATACTGGTAGGGTTTAGGGTTTAGGGGTATGTTTTCGGGCACTACATACTTTGGCACAGGGCTTCGAGTTCCCTCGGTAGGGTGCTTCTTGTCGCGACATTAAACCAAAAGTTGTGGCCGGGCTTTGGGCTCAAGTTTCAGGTTTATAGCAGGAATTTACGGTGCACGGTGCAGGGTTACAGTTGAATTCGCATGAATTCGCTTCCTTTCGGTTTTTCGATGATGGAAACTGATTCGCCGCTCCAGGTTGTCCTCCTGGGACACGCAGCGATGCTGCCGCGGACATGTGTGAGGAGTGCACTGCGGGCAGGCTCCGATATCAATTCTGCAGGGTCGATTGCAATATGTAGTGTTTTTTTTAGTGATTTGATGGTGCACGCACCTACGCTGACCTGCATATCAGGACTCTCTGTGTGTCGCAGACTGATTATGTGCCATATCACTATATCTTCTCGAGAAACCTGTCAAAGCGTGAAACGGAAGCAAAATCACCCGTGGTTGCCAACCCCAAAATTTCCCTTCGCACCTAAGCCACTTGAACCCCAGCCCTGAGACCTTAAATGATCTTTACATGCCCTCCACCCGAACTGCCTTGTCATGCGAGGTATAGTCGGAGTGCATCTGACACCTGCGACCTTTGACGGGTGCTCAGAGGCTGTGAGCATGAGTCTCAAGATGTGCATGTCAAGTTGCAAGGCGCCTCTTGCTAGCAGAGGAGCCTGCGAGAGGATCTATGGGTCTACGATCACAATAGCTACTTGTAGTTACCAGGCAGTCAAGGCGACCCCACATCAAGTAAGTTAAGTCTTCGATCGATCTTTAATCCCGAAACCCTTATAGCTATAGTTCAGGTTGCAATCCCTACAATCTCAACCCCGAACTGCGAACCCTGACCTGAACATAAAAGCCCTTCTTATCCTTAAAAGCCTATACCTATAACAAGCCTCAAACCCAGACATCCATCAACCCTAAACCCTAACTTCCCTAAACTCTTAACTACCCTAAACCCTAACTAGACCCAACTCGTCGAGTTTCAGACCTCCGAGGCCCAGCGGGCTTTGCCAGCGAGCCGGGCTCCGGCGAATGCAGCGCCTGCAGACCTGGGAGCTTTAGCCTCGCTGCTGGGGCGGCCTTTTAAAGGGGCTTTTGTGGGGAAAAAGGGGGGTTCTTTTGGGGGCTTCTGGGGAAGAGGGGGCTAAAGGGGCTGGAGGAGAGGGGGTTCTTTCTGTAGGGTTGAGGGTGTAGCATTTCAGGGTTTTGGCAAATTGAAGGAATTTGGTGTTCATGGGCTTGTGCAATGACAGATTTCGCCAGCGACGGAGCTTGTTCGGCCCAAGAGAGCAGAGCGAGTCTGCTACTGTAGTATTTCCGTGGTGCAGACATGCTGCGAATTAGAGTCGTGACGTGGGCTTGCCAAATACCGGTAGACTTGTGGCAGTCACGTCGGGGCTTGTTGTGTTGGATTCTGCATGCTTCCGGCACATCATCGAACCTGTGAGCCAGTCACAGGCACTTTACGGAGATGATCTGCTTGCCAAAGTAAGCGGAAAAACGACGTGGCATGCTCCTGGAATCTCTTGCCAGGGGCATTCTCGAGCGCTTGCATCCGCAAAGCTTGTCGGCTGACGCAGAGTCAGCGCTGAGTTGTCGCGATGGCCACCGTCGTAGCTCGCAAATGGCAGAGTGGGACTTCAGCCTTGGGGGAAGGCGCATTGAGGTCAAATCTGCCATGTTGTGTTTCGATAAAACTAGGCAGGTTTGGAGTGTTACTTTTCATGGCGTTAAGCTGGTGCAGAAGAGATGTCAGCACGATCAGCTATTTGATGATCTTTACTTGTTAATATACACCCCTGCTGAGTTCTACCTGATAAGGCATGACTTGCAAACCGGAGTCAATTCCGCAGGAGCGTTAGCTGCCAGTGTGGGACATGCAATACGTGTCGCCAGCCAGCTGGGACAGGCTGCATGGAATAAAGCCATGAAAACTATTCTAGACAAGATGTTGTTGTCAGGATCATGTGAGTTTGTTAGCAAGGTTGCGAGGACGGACCCCTTGGTTTCGACGCTCTATTCCGAGCTGCTGCAGAAAACGCGCCAACTGCAAGACAAAGTGTACGAAGGCATACCCATGAACACTATGAGCACTGGTGCCCGTGGAAACCGGATTCAGCGAATCGCCTTGGAATCGACAAGGTTAACCATGCAGGTAACACTTTCACGGATGCATCTGGTGAGCCCACTGCACATCAATGCATGAGGCGCAATATCAACAATGCTGCTGTAGACTGGATTCGTGACGGCGTTAGAGTGGAAGTTAAGACTGCAAAAGTCGTGTTCGACCCGAATTTGCAGCGTTGGCAGTGCATTTTTCGCAAGATCCAGGACAGAAACAAACTGAGCTTTCACGAGCTTTGGCGCGGCATTTACAGCCCGTTTGGACTTGAATTCTTCAACCACACTTCCTTTCGTAGGGGTCTCTCGTCGACTGGGCTGCCAAGCGCAGATGCAGGCAGGAGGCTGTGCTTATCTGCACGTCCGCAGATGCCGGCGTGGAGGCTGCCATTCAGCGTATGAAAGCCAAACTTGAAGCAGCCGGTGCCATGCCTTTGTTCACGCTTCCCTGGAGCCGTTGACATGGCACGAACTCAAGTCCCTTCGCGGTAGGCTGATGCGGTACAAGTCAAAACGCTTAGTGGTTGTCGAAGGAAGGCCGCGAATTGTATGCGAGGGTTTTCCTATGCCGACCGGAACGCCACTCCGAAGGCCTCCTTGAGTGCGACACCCGGAAATCCCTACAATGCAATGTGTGCGGCTGCTCGATAATCGTGACAATGCTGTGACGCTGTGGTTCGAGCTTGCACTAGACTCACTAGACATGGTCCCAACACCCTGCAATCTGTATGTACTGCCTGACGCTAAGATCTTCAAAACTGTCTCAAGCGCTTGAAAGCCCTGCTGTACCAACAGCAGCTGCAGCTTCTGCTCAATGGTGTCCGCAAGCCCATCAAAACCCTGCAAATCCCAGAATTCTTGAGACCCCAAAATGCTGTCGGAGACCCAGCTGCAGCAAGAGCCAAATCACGGGTTCAAAGAGCTCACACCCAATTCCCGCGAAAACCCACGCCCACCCTCAACACAGTTTCAAAAGCCTTGATCCTATAGCATAGGGGCACGAAGTCTGTCTCTGCAAGCCGTAAAGCCTTGAGCTCAGAGGCCGAGTCGCCCTCTTGCAGCATCTGCCCTGCCGGAACCAAGAGCGGGGCTTCTTTGTCGCAGGAGATACTTAAGTTAGCCGATTCCCAGAAGGGCGCCAAGTGGCCAAGGCGCTGTTGACTTGGCAGGTTAAACACGGTCCCAAGTTGCTGCATGTAGGCTTTTTCTGGAAGCTAGGAAGCCGGGAGAGATCCGTATGTTTTCGTGGTCCTTTATGGAAAGTTGAAATTCGTCATTATCCTCATGCCAGTGAGGAATCCCAGCTCTGATGGTCATTATCCTTGGAAAAGCTGTAAGAAATGAGGCCTAAGTCCTGGAGACCCGAGACCTGTTTCCAAGAGCTTGTGAGCTCAGGCCGAAGCTGGGATGTGCACAGCCTGCCCACTGGGGAAGGCCTGGGCTGTCTAAGACCCAGAGCAGTGGAGGGGGCTTGCTGGTTTAGCGGTTTCGGGGTTTCGGTTTGGGTCTTAGACGAGTTGTTAATTCCGGGTTTTTGAGGGTCGAGGCTGTTGGATTGTGTGTGAGTTTGTGGTGGGTTTGGGGCTTTGGTGTTTGCTTTGATTGAACCTGTCGTGGTTGTCGGCTTCGAAACCTGAGCATCGTTATGGGGGCTGGCAGCCGGTGATGACCAGGAGCAGCACATAGAAGGCAGCCTGCAGCTTCCCGGAATCCCGCATCCCAAGCCAAGAGTAGCCCAACAGCACAGCCTTGAAACTGCAAGTCCAAAATGGGTGATCGCTTTGAGCTCTACCCCTCGAAATGCATTCTCAAATCCTCCAGCTTTCTGGACGTAAGGGGCTTCATTGCAAGACTCAACCTGCAACCGTAAAAGCTGAGTCCTAAGCCATGTCCGACCTCGCCAGGTTAGTCCATCGAATGCCAGCCGCTGTCGTCTTTGCCCAGCCGGCCGCTTTGCGCCCTCGCCGGACGGGGAATGTGCCCTGGCTGAGGTGTAGGACTTTCAGTTTTTGCCGGCGAGATGCTTCCCGGTGTAGGGGTTTAGAACTCGCGGCCGCGACCCGGGGATTTAAGGGAGGTTTAGCCGTTTATCAGCATGAATGAAGGCATGGAATGCCCATCTGGCACGTGGAGTACGTCGCGCTCAGCAGAGTGCAGCTTGGCTTTGCTGTTGTAGGGGAGGCCTGTTTCGCTATTCCGGGTCTGCAACCCACGATTTTGACTATGAGTATGTCTTGCAATCTAGCTGGAGTGTGTTTTCGGATTTAGGACTCTGCAGTCCCTATAATTATGGCAAGGGAACCCTATGCCTTCGCAAATGTCCGTGTCTCGCACAATCAGAGATTTACATGGAGCGTAGGATTGAGGGTGAAGGGTTCAGGTTTTTGAGTCTAGGGCTTCGAAACCCTGAGCACATCCACAGGTACGGAATGTCCCGAGGGGCGATGGAGCCACCCTGGTTCGCGGGACAGAGATGGCTCATATCATCTAACAGGGGTTTTGGACTTGGGGTTTCGGGTGTCATGTAACAAAGGTTTAGGTTTTCGCTTTGAAGAGTCATGCAAGTCTATCGGCGGCCGGAGAAACTTCGGGTTCTGAAATGGCCCTCGCTGGTCGGATGCGCTGTAATTGCCACCGGCGATAACATTCTCAGACCCTCAGCTCCCTCCTGGAGAGCACGGGGGCCGGAGGGGAAGGAGGGGAGGGGGGGCAGGACGAACCAAGACTTTGGCAAGGGGATCGTGGATACTGTCAGCACCCATCTCTTAAGACATGGACCTCCGAGCCTAGAGACTATGGCAAAAGCCTTCAAGACTGAGCTTCATAGGACTTTGTTCCCTAGCGCCGAGAGCTGAACTCCGAGCCTCCCAAACTCGAACTCCGGGACGGTCTCTATTTTCGTAGCTCCGTCCAAGCCCAAAACTGCGTCGGACATCGGCGAGAGAGCAAGTCCACTGCACCCTTCAAAGCAAAGCCCGAACTCCCGCAGCTGCAGTTGCGAGCCTAGAGTGCCTAGAGCCTCAAGCTCGAAAGCCCTTTGGGCCGACCGAAAGCTTCATGACTCAACTTTGAGTCCTAGGATCGTAGATTCTAGCTGTTGTTCTTCCCTTTTCGTGTCGGTGATTTCTTCCTGACAACATGTCCGGCTTTTAGGCAGGCTTCGGATCGAAGTCAATGAGAGACTGAGTGAAGAAGTGACTCTCTACATGCTCCTCCAAAGATCTTAGCATTCACGCCCCTGGAGTAAGCAGATAGTTGAGGCAGAAGGTCAGTAATCAGGGAAGTAGATGGGTGCAGGATTGCGCTGCTTGTCCTGCTGGAACCTACATCCTCGAGGGTAACGCGACCTGTCAGTCAGCTGCCCAGCGAGGGGTCCGATGTGTTTGCTAAATTTTGATCGTCAGGGTTTGGGCTGCGGTGAGCGGAGAGTTCAAGATTAACTGTACAAGGCGTACAGGGAAAGGGTTTAGTGTTTCCGGGTGAAGGCATAGCTGAGGGTTCGGAGCTGCGTGGAAAGGTCTCAAAAGTCCCTTCATCCTCAACCCACGGCCCTCAGGGCCCAAGCCCAAAACACAAGCGCCGAAGCCCACTTCATCCGTCGGAGCCCAAGACTCCTCAATCCAAGCCCCCGAGAGAAGACCTGGAGCACGCAGAGTGTAGCCGTCACAAAATTGAAAACTTTTCAAAGCCCTCACACACACACACGCACACACACAAACGCTAGACTAGACTGAAAATGAATACATATGCCATGAAGCCTGAAATCCAGCCGACATCTCACCGAGGCCCTGCCCACATCGCTTCTGGAGCTTCGAGTCATCCGCTCCCGGTTTTGAACGAAGACACGGCCCAGAAACCTGTAGTCCAACCTCTTTGGATGGTGATGTAGGGTCTTTCATCTTTAGAATAGGATTTGGGCATATGTGTTGTGCGAGTTGGACTTCATTGTGGGGTTCTGTTTTTCGGTGCAAGGCAGTTGGCCACCCCAAATCAAAAGGCAACAGAACTCACAAGCCTAGGCTGATTGTGAGCCGCTGGGCTCGGGCACCTGGAGTACGCTGCGTGTGCAGCACCTGTACGACGAGATCCTCAGGTGGGTCTTAGGATTGATCTTCCGATTTATGGCTTGGTGCGAGGTTGACCTGCTAATTCAGGCTTGGCCATCTGGGAAGTGCATGAAGCATTTTTAGAGCAGTGACCATTCTGCCGCTCGCCGCAGCAAAACTGACGACAGTTCTTTGAACGATACGAAACTGGATGTTTGCAATACCTGATGTGTGATAGCTTACCTTAACCCCACCCAACCAGAAATGCGAAAAGCCTGAACCCGATAGACCTTAATTAAACGCTCTAGACCCCACTGAGTTAAACCCCGAATCCTGAACCCTGTCCTTCGCAGGGATGGCACCGGCGAAGATCGTGGCTCGGCAGAATGAAAGGTGGTGTTGAAAGGTTCCACTACAGAGATGGAGAAGTTCACAAAGTCAGAAGGCATCCCAGTGCCCCAAACTCCTGGCAGAAAACGCCCCTGATTCAAACGAAGCTGAAGTTATAAAGTTCACTGTAGTTCAACCTCACTCCTTAACTAAGCCCTAAATTTGGCCCCAAAGCCCTATTCAGCCCTCACAGTTCTGCCTTTCTGACGCCTAGCTCTTCAGACTGCTCCGCTGCTAGGCTGGTTCGAGATTCGCTCGCGAGAGCTGGCGAGGGATCCCTGGGTCCTCGCGGCCAGAGAAGATTGGCTCCAAGCGTGAAGAAAAAGCAGGGCTCGGGTCTCGGGGGCCTCAGGGGTTTTAGCCTCTGGCTTTGGTAGACCATCGTTGTTTCAGAGGTTCTAGGCGGAGTGTTAGGGATGCGTTGGTGCATTTTAATCCAGGGCTGTGGCGAGTTCTGCCGGCCTATGCTGTTGGGAAGCCTGGGCTCCCTCAGCGGTCATGTTGGTGAGGATTTGGGTTTGAGGTCTTGGGCGTGGGCAGTACCAGGCATTCGGGGACGGCACTTCATAGAGTATATATGTATGTATGCATGTATGTATGTATGTATGTATGTAAATATGTATATACATGCAGATATCGCAGACTCAGGAGAGCTGTAAGGAACGACATTAACTACTTGAACTCCCTACATTAAACACCACTCGTGCCCAAAGTCCCAGCGTGGCAGCTGCATGAACAGTAAGTACTACTGCTCCATTCGGTTCGTTAATTTACTCATAGTTTATAGTTCACCGAAACCCGGGTCTAGTTATCCAGGTTTCGAGTTTCGAGGGTTGGAGAGTTGTGCTGTTGACTTCATGGTGTAGATGTTGCACGACATTGCACGACGCTCTCTGTAGGACACTGTTTAAAATTGACGGAGAGATTCCAGATTCAGTTCGACTTTGAGAGTCCCGGTGGCGAGTAGGTTTTCAGATTCAGGGCGTGGTTTCGTCGCGGGCAGGGGGTTCCCGACGACCTTTTTAAACTTGGGCAGCTTGATCTGGGATGGCTCCAGCCCGAAACGTGATACGTTTGGACATGGACACGTCTTCTTCAGTAGCTGCTAATCTCATGCATACAACAGGCTTCCAAGTAACAATGCAAAGCTTCAGCGAAGCAGCTCAGAATACAGAAGAATCTTTGTACACATGCTGTAGTAGCATATGCTCGAAACCCCGTCCTCATGTTAATATATATATATACACATAAAAAAATGAATCAGCAGTCTGTACCTTGCGCCACACTGTTCTCCTGTCGTCTCGGGCATCTCCGATCGCCGAAAGGGCGAGGGACTGGGGGGTGTTAGCGACGCCATGGGAAACCATCACGCAGCTTAGCTGATCGCTTTAGGGGAAGTTTAGGGCTTATAGGATTTGGGAGCTTCAGAAAATCAGGGGGCCCAACGTAGAGGCCACAAATAGTACAGGGCAAATAGGATTAAGGTAGGGGACCCTGAAACCTCGGGGACCCTCATCTAGGACCAACTCATGAAAGCTGGCTATTCAAAACGGCCTTTGTCCCACATGTCATTCCATGCTTCAAAAAAAAGGACTTTAAGTGAATTCAGCTAGATCCCGGCATCTATCATCTGCTGTGGCCCACACCAAGTTGTTGGTGATGTGGCAGTCTGTTGAAAACACCCATCCGCCAAAAACCTCCAGCGGGAAAGCAAGGTGTTGTTAAGATCTCATAGAATGAGTTGTATGTTTCCAGCAGCCCCTCCTCAAAGCGTTGCTGGGAAGTATGTTGACGGCAGCCTGGAATCCCAATCTTCAAAACAAGCATGAACAAAGCGAAACCCCAAAACCTCAACCTCTGAAAACCCCCACAAAATTCCATGCAGAAGCCCTTGGAATGTCCCCTTGGCGGTCGCTGCTTACAAAGGACCCTTACAACAGCCACATGTTTCAGTTTTTCTTCTTCTTATAGGGATTAAGCATATGTTATGTTGGGGGTATGACCTCAGCAAAATTGAGATGGTGTTGGCGGTTGTCACAGCATGTCACATGCCGGATGGAAAGGAGTTTCGAATCAGAGCTGATTCATTTCACCGCAGAGTGCACAACTCATCCTGAACAACCCATGCTCCAATCGTGGGCTGCTGCGAAAAAAAAGAAACACCCGTGACTTTGGCTCGTATCCTCACAAGCTTGCCATACAGATCCCAAGCCGAAGCGCCCTACCTCCCCCTCTCGCAAAGCGAGTTCCGGAGTCTAGGCTTTCTGGGCGGGGGAGAAGGCATTTACAGCCCAACCAACAAACCAAACTCTAAACCCCCGGAGCTCTGAGCCCCAAGCCTTCGACTCAAAGCTCTGAGCCCCAAAGTGCGCTTTTACCCAGTCGACGGGCCACTTCTTCAACCTCTGCGGCTGCACCGATGCATCCCGGATCGGAATTTCGGAAACTTCGGGGTTTAGCGGTTTAGGGGTTTTGAGGTTTGGTGGTTGCTATTTTTTGCGCGTAGTCCATGTCGGCAATTGCGATATGAAGAAGCCAGGGCTAATCCCAGACATGAACAGCAAATGCAAGAGTAGGAGCCTTGACTCGGCTATGGCCGTGATCGAGTAGTGGTGCTGAGACCGCACGACGACGAAGGCTTCGGACGACCACTCCGACGCTTTGGGTTGGAGGGATCTTGACGGCTTCAGGTTCCGGGATGTGGGATCACTGAAACATCGTTCATGTAGGGTCTGTGGGGTTACGATGGTTTAGATGGTTTAGGCTCTGAAGGCGTTGCTGTTGGGAAGAAAGGCTAGACCAAATCATGGCGGCTGCTTCGAGCAGCCGGGTTTCGGGGTCTTCTGAGGTGTCCAGTCTGGAGCATCGTGGTCTGGACAGCATTCTGTAGAGTCGGACTTGAAGGGAAGAGGAGGCTTAGATTGAAGCACGAGAGTCGACGAGTGGTTGTGTTGTTGACTCGATGATGCATTCATCTCAGGTCATCGGATTCGAGGGCAGCGCCAAGGTGCGGGTGTGGATGTTCGCGTCAGGATAGACAACGGTGCGCTGCAAAGGTAGCTTGGTTCTCCCCGAATCCAGGCTTCAGGCTTTGCGTTCTACATGAGTTGATATTGCTATGTACTTTGAAATTTTCGTTTCCTTGGACATTGTGGAAGTCCGTAGCTGTAGCTCTCCAGCATTGCAGGCCCGTGGAGATCTCTGGCTACATTATTGTAGTTTTGTACCCTAGCGAAGGACTGCATATCAGATGCCCCTGTAACCCTGGTATGGTCCAAGAATCCACGCAGTCGACTGGCTTGAGCCGCAGGAAGCCCGAAGATCCAACGTAAACAAAAAGCATGCAGGATCAGAGCTTCGTCCTTCAAGCCTAGGGGACCAAGACCAGTCTCAAGCGGGCCATCTCCCCGCACAGACCATAAAAACCAGTGCCGGAATCGCCAGGCAGTCATCAACATGTACGAAATTAAGCCTGGCGCTTATCAGGGCGGGCCTCACGGGGATAGCTGCCAGTGACAGTTGGGCTGCTTCGTTGGTTTTGTTGTTGTTCCGTTGAATCGGTCCGAAGTGAGTGGAAGTGGTAATGGTTTGTTTTGAGAAGTTGTGAAAGCAAGTCAGCCTGAGTTTAGGCATCTTTTCAGGGAGCCAGACAGGCATTCCATTTACTTGCGTGGCTGCATGACACAAAACGAGTTGAAAGCCGTCAGCAAGCTACCTGTTGAGCTAAACCCTATAAACCCATGGCCCGAAGCTCTACCAGCTGAACCCTCCTAGACTTGCGCACAAACCCAGAAACCCGAAGTTCAACTCTCAGCTTTCTCGAAGATCTCAAAGAAGGTCATCACCGAAGGACGAGCAGCTGACTGGAATCAAGCAAGGCCTTGTTAAAGCTTCCCTTTGTCGCTAGGTCCCGAAGCCCCGAAACCTGCCGATCGCCCAAAGCATGAGGATCCGAGAGACCCTAAACCCCTAAACCCTAAACCCTAAACCCTAAACCCTATTACCCATATTATTCCTTTAGTTTTGTTCATGGCTACTGTATAAAACAGCCCCGAAACCACGCGTTAAGGCCTGTCTGTATGTTGCACCCAACCTGTGGCTCCAGCTGCTTGTTTTTTTTGGAGTTGGAGGGTATAGTTACTTGCTATCTATTGGGGTTTCTGGCCACAGATTATATGGCCGCCTTTCTTTGTTGTAAGGTTTTAAAATCTTCTATTAGGGTTTATGATGTTATTGTAACTTAAGGTAAGCACAAGCCGAGGCCGTGGAACGCAAGGAGTCTGATCCGCGACAATTTGAACAAACAGGCCTCGCACAGAGGAGAGATTTCGGAGCTGGGGGGAGTTAACATGGGGCCTTGATGATTAGAATAGGGTTTGGTGGTGTGATCGGACAAGAAGTCTGTTCGAGCAAACGAAACTAAAGGACTTGTGCCTTATCTGTGATTTTCAAGCCGTTTCCGTGTTGGAGATCAGCTTTTCGAAATAGTATCGGTGATGACTTTGATCATCGAATCAAACTCAGAATGCCAAGCATCAAGTACGTCAAGTGAGATTTCGGAAGCAGCAGGACATTTTCGGCTTAAGGGTTTGGTGGTGTTTTATACGAAAATTATAAGACAGAGCCCCAAAACCCCATTCCAAAAAAAAGCCGCCACATAGTTCGGAGCACAAGTGCGCTTTTTGCTTCATAGGTTGCCTGACCGTACATCACAAAAAACTCTAGAACCTCTACGCACAGGCACTGATCCGCATGACAACCATCACTCCTGGGACAGGGTTTCGGGTTTTAGGTTCATGATATAGGGTTACGAACTTGGGCTCAGAGTTTAGGGTTTAGGGGTTTGGGGCTTAGGGTTTAGGGGTATTTAGGGTTTAAGGTTTAACAAGGGTTTTGTGGATTCGGCATAAGACGTAGGGTTAGCGCTGAGTGGCTAAGTATAGCTTAACCCTACCCTTTATCACTAGACCCTAAACGCTAAACCCTCTTCTTGAACTGCAGGCCCCAGTACTGTAATATGGTTTTATCACTAGGCCCTAAACCCCAAACCCTATTCTTGAACGCCCCTGTACTGTAATATGGTTTGGTAAACCCTAAACCCCAAACCCTAAACCCTATTCTTGAAGGCCCCAGTACTGTAATATGGTTTTGGTAAACCCTAATCTCGAAACCCTGAACCCTAAACCCAATACTGTAATATGGTTTAGGTACTGTATCTTTCCGCAATCGAGGCAGACCTTGCGCGGAAGTCCCCGCTGCGGAAGGTGCCCATTATGGCCTCCTGGCTTCGTTTCATGTTTTCGGGTGCATAGGTGTTTTAATGGGATTTAGGGTTTGGGGTTTAGGTACGGGTTTTTTAGGGATTTTAGGGTGAAAGCGAAAGGCTGAGTTAGGGGCTTGGGGTGTAGGGCCTGTAGGGTTTCTCTGCAGCTTTTGCAGGTTGGTCTCTCAGGACCAAGGCTAGCCCCTGAATCCTTAAACCCTACCTAAATACCCTTACTGAGCCATATGTTGCTTGAATATAGACCCAACGATAGATGAGTTTGAGAGCTGTTGAAACAGACAACTAGTGTAGCACATACTTTGACCCCAAGGGCGTTCCGTTACAGAAGCTTTACGGTGGTCTGCGCCATATATGGGCACCACTAAACCCCACGCCTAGAGCCCTAAACCCTAAACACTACCCTGACCCTAGGACCTTTAGGCTGATGACCTCCCAGGATGGATTAGAATACTTCCAGAGGCAGATCAAAAGCTCGATGTGCTGGCCTTGGTGTTGTGTTGTTCTTGGGTTGCAGGGGCTTGGGACGGGTTTGTTGCTTGTGGCGGGGTTTAGGGTAAAGTTTTGGGGTCCGGGGCGGCTTTAAGGTGAAAGGTTGGGTTTGAGCGGGGCCTTACATTGGGTTTGTTGAGGTTGAAGAGTCTTGGGCTTTGGGGCTTTAAGGTTCACTTGTCTGTGGCTTAGGTCTGCGTAGGTTTTCGCATTTTAGGCATCTGGTGTTGCGTTTTCGGGTTTCGGGCTTAGGCTTAAAGCAGCAAGATGGAGGCTCTACGACCGAACCTCTGGCTGCCAGAGTGTGAGGTCATGGTGAATCGTGGGCTCCACACCGCACGCGGGTTAGCTGAGGGTCTTTAGAGTCAATTTAGAGTTTGTGGCATGGACCCAAGACCCCCAAACTGCCGGCCACACAACACCTCTGAAGCTTAACCCTGGAGCAAGGAAGCAAACTCTGCTAAAACATTACTGGAACCAACTAGGAATTATTGTAATTATGGTGTGTCATCCGTGGTTCACATTTATTGACTGAAGAGTACTTTCATTGACACTACCCGTTCCATTCACCAGATGTGGACTTTTGTCAACAACGCAAGCCTAAACACCAGACCAAAGGACGTTCGACCCTAGCCCTAAAACCTCGACCCCAAGCTCCTAACCGGTGGTACCCGCGTGTAAGTGGTAGCCTTCAACCCCAGAACCCAGCGGGGGGGGGGGGAAAAGGGTCGTGCAAGAAAAACCTAAACCCCAAACCCCAACCCTAAACCCTTGATCCTCTCAAGCCTAAGCCCCAAACCCCGACGCTTAGCCTTTCATCTCTCAACCCTACTTGTTAAGGGATTTTATTTCTGTTACCATAATAAGGAAACCCTATTATTTGCTATAGATCCTTATTTTGGTAACTTAAGTTAAATCCCTTAACAAGAACCCACCCTAAACCCTGAACCCCTAAACCCCTAAACCCTAATTCTAAACCTGTACGGAAGCCGCTGCCCCGAGGTTCGGCTCCCGCGAGTTGACGAAGGATCGCTTCGTCGCCGCTGGGCCGCAAGGAATCCCAGGTCAAGGTAACTGTTGCAGTTTTTCCGTTTTATGTTCGGTTCAGGGCATTTGGGCTTTGAAGGTTTGGATCACTGTCAATTTTCATGGGCCGCTGTGTGGGTTCTGTTCAGCGCTTTGCGAGTGTTGTCATGGGTGTTCGGTGTTCGAACGCATCGAGGGCCCTCAGAGAGCTCAGTGCCTGGCTCTGAGGGAAGATAAAACCCTAAACCCTAAACCTTGAAGACAACATGAACTGAGGTGTGCCTGTGAATTCAGAGGTAGCTCAGCATGGTACATTCAAGTTCTTTGAGCATTCCAAGGACATCGCGGTGATGCTTCTAGGCCAGAGCTGTTTGTGAACCATCCCTGGGTTCCGGGCTTCCAGCTTATAGGGTTTGAATCTTGCGATCGGGTTTTGGGTTTGGGGTTACAGAGCTTGGTTTAGTGATATTAGCTTTCAGGGATTTCGGCGTACTGTTTAGGGAAGCGCAGGGTCTACAGAGGTCAACAGGCCGGCTTGTTACATTGATACCCTGAGCAGGTCAACAGAACATCCCGCACAACCCTCGTGAGCGGGAGGTGCGGAACTGATTTCAAGCTTGACACTTACACTTCCACACCTTAGTTCAGGCTTTCTTGTTTCTGGGGCTGCTTTCTCAAGTAGCTTGAGCAGGTGCTCTCATGGTTTGAAGGCTGCATCTTGATTTCCGGGTCTCTTTGTAATCGTAGGGTGGTCCCGTCCTCTTTCAAGCTTCAATTCAGGGTTCGTTTAGAGGCAGTTCGACGATAGTAGCAGAATCGTTGACATTCGGACAAGACGAGGCCACGCAGGTGCTAACATCTGCACGGTGGCCTCCTTGATGAATGCATGTCAATGGGATTCAATGTGTCATGGGATGGGTGCAGGGAGAGCGGTGGAGTGGGTGCTGCAGGTTCAGTTGTTTTAAGACTAAGAAGACGTGCGTTCCGAAGTAATTGCCAGGCATGTGGGAAGCTGCCATCCAAGCCCACGTCCGTCAGCCCTTCTACACAGTCCTGACCTCGCAGAGTCGTGGAAAGTAGTGACACGACTTGCTGACATTCGCCAGGACCTGTACCAGATCTTTGATTCCATGGACTTCGACAGGACTGCCATCCAGCGCAGTGGTCGAGTAAACAAATCTTGGGCAGTATGATCCCTACAGCTAGTCGCAAAGGATTGAGATTGACAACTCTAGGCCATATAAATCATATAAACCCCAAAGCTTATGAGCCCTAAGCCCTAATTAGAGCTAATCTCAAAGGAAGTAGCCTTCTGCCCGCAAGCCGAAACCTTGACAGAGCCCTCTGCAAGGAATGGAACCTTGAGCACTGGGGAGTGGGCCGCCGGCTTGTCGGTGTTCTTCAAGGGGTCGATGGAGGAGGCTCAATCCTTGGAGTTCCCTAGTACTGTAATCGTATTGGGGGCTTAAGAATGGGGTTTGAGGGTGTGCAGTTATTCTTCTTTACTGCACCCCGAAACCCAATTCCAATCATGTATTCTGCGCCCTACACCCGACTAGGACAGCCTCTATGGCAACTTGCATACCGATTGTCGGGGTGACGGCGGGGTTTATTTTAAGCGTTAGTACTATTCATGCTTACGACGAAACCTCAGGCCATCTCTTGCATGGTTTCTGTCTTCAAACTTGGACTCGACATATACACTGTCTAAGTTGTGAGCAGCGGTAGCTGAAAACATACGAGCCCAGAGCTTATTTAACGGACAGGGTGTCGGTCTATCTGCATATCTCCAATAAGAGTGTGTTTTTACGTAGACAGGCATACTCCCAAGCCCTATCGGGCTTCTCCCTCGGGACTCTGCAGGCCGTGCGCGCCGTGTTCCGCAGCTTGGTCCGGACAGATTAGTGACTGGGGCAGGCTGCTGGGTCGGTCGTGGCTTATGAGGCTCTGGGGCACTGGAGTGCTTCACAGTGCTCGGAGAGAACTTCATTACAGGGCCCACTAGAATGCTTTCGTAAAGCATCACAGCGTCTTGGGCTGTATAGTGTAAAATAATTTGGGTCATGGGTCTAAGATGGTTTTTGCAGGTTGAGCGTCATGCTACGCTAGGTTCGGGTGTTGGGGTCAAGGGCTGTGTGTGAAGTAGGAATGGAGTTTGGGGTGCATGGTTCAAGTATTCTGCAGGATCCAGTCTGGGGGCCATCGATCCGCGTTCAGAAGCTGCTGCAGCGCTGCGTGTCACCGTACCAGGTCGCCACACTCGTTTACCTCGTTTACCAAACCAGCCCAAATCCTCAAACCAAATCGCAGCCTCGCAGCTGTAAACTTCAGAACCTGGACAAAACTGAGCATAAACAGTCATGTGTCATGGCAGCAGCATTAAAAGCCGAACTACACTCAACCCTACATGCCCCAGACGTTGCACTGAAGCCAGAGCCATAAAGACAAGGCCAAAGTCTCTTTTTACATCTAAGATCCGCAATCCCCAAACACAAGCACCTCCAAACCTAAACCCGTAACGTTTGAGTCCTGACCTGTGATGGCTGTTTGTCGCAACTTCTATGAGGTTGCCTGGATGCCAACGAGAATGGTGCCATCTCCAAATCCGAGCTGCAGGTTTACGGATTGGCTTGGGGTCACTGATCTTTCTACTTTTCAGGTTTAAAAGTTAGGGTCTGGTCTTGAGAAAAGGGTACAGTGCTTCGTGATGCATGACGTGTATTTGTGTTATCGATATTTTCACAGGACGTCTCTACTGGCTTTGCTGATTTTTAACCATTGCTAGCACAACACCCCGATAGAGTCCCTGAATAATACCATAAATGAACTAGGGTTTAGGGTCTAGGGTTTAGGGCTTAGAGTGGAACTTTCAGGGTTGAGGGTTGAGGTTTAAGGTTGAGGGTCGAGGGTTAGTTCTTAGGATGTACGGTGTCGGGCTAAGGGTTTAGGGTTTACTGTTTAAGGTTTAGGGTTTAGGTCTAGGGTGTAGTGTTTAGAGTTTAAAGTTTAGGTGTAGGGTTTAGGATTAAGGGTCTAGGGTTTAGGGCTTAAGGCACTTCTAGGCCCTAGGTTGTAAGGCTCTCGGCATGCGCTTGGGTTTAGGGAGTTATTACAGGGATTCATGGTTTGAACATGAAGAAAAACTAGGTTTTAAGGTTTAGGCTTGGTTCGTTAAATTTGGCTTAGCCATGGATCCAGTCAAGAGGAGAAAAGTTTCGCTGATCCTCGAAGTGACACTTCTGAGCGGAAAGGCTGCCACAATTGAGGTGGATCCCTCCGCCTCCCTGGATGCGCTCAAACTACATGCACAAAACACTTTGGGCGTGGGGAGGAGTATTCTGCGGAGCCCGTCCAGAATCGTTCTGGGCGGTGCTACGACCGTGGAAGAAGCGGGCTTGCGTGCCGGTGACACATTAGTACTTCATAGAAGACAGACCCAGGTAGCTTCCTCTCCTTCGGCCTTTACCGCTATCATTGGTGACGGTTCTGGCGTAGCTTGGGGCATTCCTGGGTGGGGTGGTGACAGCAGCGAAGTCCAAGGGCAGCTGAAGAACGTGCAGCACATCCAGTCTTCCGCTTTTGCGTTTGCCGCAATTCTGGACAATGGTTCTGTTGTAACCTGGGGCCACCCCGCTTATGGTGGTGACAGCAGTGCAGTCCAAGGGCAGCTGAGGAACGTGCAGCACATCCAAGCTTCTGATCAGGCGTTTGCTGCCATTCTGGATGATGGTTCTGTTGTGTCATGGGGTAATCCGGACTCTGGTGGTGACAGCAGCGCAGTCCAAGGGCAGCTGAGAAGCGTGCAGCAAATTCAGGCTGCTTCTATGTCGTTTGGTGCCATTCTGGATGATGGTTCTGTTGTGACCTGGGGCATTCCCTCCCCTGGCGGTGACAGCAGCTCAGTGCAAGGGCAGCTGAGGAACGTGCATCAGATCCAGTCTTCCAATTGTGCGTTTGCTGCCATTCTGGATGACGGTTCTGTTGTAACCTGGGGCGCCCCCGCTCTTGGTGGTGACAGCAGTGCAGTCCAAGGGCAGCTGAGGAACGTGCAGCAGATCCAGTCTAACCAAAGTGCGTTCGCTGCAATTCTGGACAATGGTTCTGTTGTAACCTGGGGCAACCCCAGAGATGGTGGTGACAGCAGTGCAGTCCTAGGGCAGTTGAGGAACGTGCAGCACATCCAGGCTTCTGATCATGCGTTTGCTGCCATTCTGGATGTTGGTTCTGTTGTGTCCTGGGGTAATCCGGACTCTGGCGGTGACAGCAGCGCAGTCCAAGGGCAGCTGAGGAACGTGCAGCACATCCAGGCTTCTTCACAGGCGTTTGCTGCCATTCTGGATGATGGTTCCGTTGTAAGTTGGGGCGCTCGTGGTTGCGGTGGTGACAGCAGCAAAGTCCAAGGGCAGCTGAGGAACGTGCATCAGATCCAGTCTTCCAATTGTGCGTTTGCTGCCATTCTGGATGACGGTTCTGTTGTAACCTGGGGCGCCCCCGCTCTTGGTGGTGACAGCAGTGCAGTCCAAGGGCAGCTGAGGCACGTGCAGCACATCCAGTCTTCTGTTTTTGCGTTTGCCGCAATTCTGGACAATGGTTGTGTTGTAACCTGGGGCAACCCCAGAGATGGTGGTGACAGTAGCGCCGTCCGGGAACTCTTGGTGGAGTGAAAACCAGTTTTCATGCCTGATTCTTCCATGTGAGCCTGACCCGCTAAATGTGCTTGCTCATTTTTGTTTTAAACTATGTTACAGCATGCTAGATCACCTGCTTCCTGGTAGCCACCGAGCGGTTCAGACATGTCGCTGCATCATACACACATGTGGCATTTTTCATTGGCGTGGCATCATGTCATGTGCTGTTCTATCTTTTGCAGCATATTGTTTCAGTTTGTCCTTGCCTCGTTTTGGGGATTTCATGTCCACTGGGCTAGTTGGCATGTTTTAGGATAATTGCAATCGGCCCCTTCTTGCGCGTGATGATAAGATTCAGACCTCTGCCGAAATTTGGGATATCATGATCCTGTTTGCCAGGGCTGCGAGCTCTGACCTGGGGTCAATCTTTTGGAACTTGGCAAGTTCCTCGACAAGAGTGTGTCCAACGTCATGCTGCCACTGTAATAGGCTGAAAACGATCTTTATACAGGTCTTCAGGCAGTCTCAAAGTCTCACGGTCGGAGCAAGCGCGCCTTGCCGTGCGCACAGATGGACTTCCGGCAGTCGGATGTGTGGCACTTAGGGTTTGGAGCTTTGGGTATGCAAACCGTAGATAGCCCCTCTGATTTGTGAAAGCTTAGTCAACGCCAAAACCCAATTCGCCGTAAACCCGGGTTTGAAGCATAGCTTTGCCTCGGAGGTCTATCTCTCCCCCTTCGTCAAGGCCATGTCACCCCCAGAGGCAGCAGCATTGCGACCCATTCTGGAGAAGAAGGCGAAGAGGGGTGCTACGGTGTCGTGCTTTCGAATTGAGGGTTCAGGCTGGCCTAGTGTTGTTAAGTCTTGTTTTGATGGTGCTGAGGGTCAAGCTGAGGAATTTTAGGCTCTAGTAAGCAGGACGTAGTGGTGGCAGAGAGATGAAGAAGAACATACACCAAGGACACTTTCAATTCAAGACTTGGGGTAAACGGACTTCTGCTGCTCATCGAGTTTTGCGCTTAGGGCCTGGGGTCTAGGGCTCTTAAAGCAAGGGTTAATGTTAAAAGCATCAGTAGAGGGCCGGGCACCTCTGCCCTCAACCTGGAGGATCCAACTGCCCAAATATAAGTCGGGCGAAGAGAACTCGCCAACTGCTAGGTGAAGCCCTGCCGGCCCTACTGTTGAGCACATGGATCCTCTGGGACAAAGGTCCTTAAACCCTAGACCTAGACACCGAACTCTTGCACTCGAAACGATTAAATCCCCATTCCTAAAATGGAAAGCCTGGCAGGGCCTAGCACCTCTCAGCAGCCTCCTGCGAGGCGGTTGATGACATCTACTACGACATGGCTCCTTGGAGGGAAGTTGTAACGGCATCTAAACCCTGGACCCCTCCGTTTAAGAAGCCCTAGAATTCTTGCGCCCTTTACCCATAAGTCTGGCCCGGAGAGTCCTTCCTGGAACCTGAGCGAAGCTCTTCGCCTCCTCCGCCTCCTCCGCCACGGCCCATCATCCCCTCAGATCCCAAGTCGTCCCAACATTGCAACCCCCGACACCTTGAACCCTAATTACGCAATAAAGGCAACCTCGAATCCGATAGAAGTAGGGTCTCAAGGCTCTTGACCTCAACACTGACTGTGTGCATAGTGGCATACAAACACATATCTGTGCAGATTTTGATATGCGTAGTTCGTCGCTCTTCAGTTTTATACTTAAGGACCCCAGAATGCCTGGAAAGGCGCCGTCATCGTAAGCCCAACCAAGGGAACCGTGTCATACTGCATACGATGCCCTCATAAGCAAGAGGGGGTCTGGGGTTCTCAGAGAGACGAGCCGAGGACATGGATCACCAGGCAGACATCTCCAGTGACGAGATGTTGGCGCCCCTTGGACTACAAAACGAAGGCAATTCGATCTTGAGGGCTTCTGGGCCTAAGCCTTCCCGGGCCCTAAAACCGGCCCAGGCTTTATAGGGTTTAGGCTTTATAGGGTTTCAGGTTTCGGGCCCAGCTTTTTAGGGTTGAGGCTTTAAATTTAGGGTTTATGCTGTAGGCTTTAGGGTTTTTAAGCTTTGGGGTGTAGGGTCTTGGATTTATCATAGGGTTTAGGCCTCTTAGAAGCTCTAAGTCGGGAAGTTAGCGCCCAATGGCAGAGACGGAAAGCTGAACGCGTCTGGTGCCTCTCCGGCCTCGGCTTAGTTATAGTTTCGCTTCAGGACGCAAGGAGCACGGTTTAGGGTTCAGGGTTTACGGTTTAGGGCTTAGGGCCAGAAGCTTCGCTCCGGAAAGGCCCGAAATGCCAAACGTCTTAAAGTTCTACCGCTTGCCTAGGGCAAGTAACCTTCAACTCGTCTCGGGGTCTTGCGTGGGAGATACAGAGACCACGACTATCACCATTGGGTCCCAAAGTGGCGGTCCGAAAAAGCAAGGTACTTAGGCTCCAAATTTGAGGTACCGCTTTTGCTGAGTGCCGTACATAATCCCAAATGTTAACCTGCACAACCTTAAGGGCCTCTTAATTCGGCAATTCCCATAGCTTAGGGGCCTTAGTGTCGTAAGCCTCCCCCTGAACCCTAAACCCAAAACCCTCCTTCCTGTGAATAGTGAACGCTTCCAAGATGGAGTCGCCGGGGGAACAACATCGTTGACCGGCTCGCCGACATCATCGACCAGGAGGCCTAAACCTCAGGGTTTAGGGTTTAATCCGGGGCCCTACAGACTAAATTCTAGAACCTAGACGAACCTACTGAAAGCTTCATGTGGTCCAAGTTCTGTTTGATCTTGGCGACTGCAGCTTGCACAGAGCTTGATGATAGTTCGCGTCCGAGATCTAAGCTCGAGAAAATAGCCTCGGAGCTCTGGGCCAGACGAATCGACAGCTGAAGTGCCCCAATTGTTTAATTCGCGATCCTCGACCCCAAACCGGCGCCCCAAACTCTCATACCAATACCAATACCAGTAAAAACCAATAATAACAATAACAATAATAATAATAACAATAATAATAATATTAACAGTAACAATATCTATCAAAACCTAAACCTCTCCAGCTGGAAGCCCCGGGCCTTCCAGCCCCTAAATCAAGAGCTCCACTCATTGAGGTCTACCAACTCTGGCTGGCGGAGTCCAAGCGGAAGAATCAGAATCGGAGGCCTGCGTTCCAGCTTATAGGCTGTATAGGAATGGGGCTTTTGGCCATTGATGCGTTTGGATTCAGAGTGTCAATTAAGGTCTTGGCCCCTTGAGGGGCCTACCGCAAGGCCTGAAACCAAAGATTTGAAGCGGAAATGCTTAAACGGGCCAAGCCCCCAATCCGACCAGCCCAAACCTTAAAGCGCGAACGGGCGAAGAACTCTCATAGAACCCTGCGGCCTAAACCTTGTAGAAACCTAAACCCTAAACCCCGAAACTCTTACGGAACCCGAACCGATGCTTGAGACTTCAGGCGGACGAACAGGGGCGCTCACAAGAAAAGGAACATAAGCTACACCCCAAACTCCAAACCCCTCAAAGCCCACCAGGTATTCCGAAACTGGAAGTGCAAGCCCTGGCGCAAGCCCTGGCAGCAGCCCAGGGAGCGGTCGCTATGAGGCTATGGCTTTGGGTTTCGGGGTGCAGGGCTTTGCGGTTTGGGCTTGGGGGGCTTTTTTTCGGATTCGGCTTTGGAGCTTTAGGGGTTGGCTCTAAGGTTTTTGGGTTCGGGGTTGAGGAGTTTTTGTGGTTTTTTTCTTCGTGGGTTGTAAGAAACTTTGGGGAGCCCGTGGTCTAAAGAGAAATGGTTCGAGGGATTCTTGTTCAAGATGTCTGGTGTCGCGTGCATCAACTCCTATACACATATATATATATATAGAACATTATATATATATATGTATCCCCTGAATCCGTTTAACTTTCATACATCCCTACACGAATACTGAGGCTTCTAATCTGAGACTCTGTTGGGATGTCTTGGGTCCTCCCGCAGTTGATCGTGACTTATAGGTTCGACTAGCGTCGTCGCTTTTGCTCGGTCGCGGTGAGGACTTAGACATAAACCTTAAGACTTCAGATACACCTTAGCTCCCTGAACCACGCCCCCGTACACTCCGTAGACCCTGAACCCGCCCTTTCGCACATGACCAGGCGATGCAGGACCACCACGATGCTGGGTACGGCCTCGCCAGCCTGTTTTCGTTTGTCTCTTCTGCGGCTGAGGGCTGTGTACTGTTTCTTTTCAATATGCCAGTCTTGGGTTCCTGGTTTCAGCGCGTTTGGGGCGTGGGGATTCCGGCTGAGGAAGAACGAGATTTGACTTCAACGGTTAACTGGATTCGCATGAATGACTATATGGGGATGAGGGCCAGTCGTCGACTGAGGGTTTGGGATTATATAAATTATATATGTGCAGGTCGAACGTGTAGGGTTGAGGGCTTAAGGCCCGAAAACGAAACCCTAACCCTAAGTTTGAAGCCTTATAGCCACAACTAACCCCTTTCCCCTGCACCTTATGTACTGCAATGTTTTCGGAGACCCATGAACTCAGTCAGTAGGGTTTCGAACAGCTCAGCTACAGAGGGGAATTACCATAAATTAACGGTGCTGGTTGCCCTGGCCCAACACCCTCATAGAGACCCTAAACCCGGCACCCTTAAGGAGACTCCATATGGCCTCGAATCTGACCCGGGCCAGATTCGCAGCGCGCCTCTATGAGCTCCATGGGACACAGCCCGGCACAGCAAGGGCGCTTTGGCAAGAAGATGAATATCTACTGCTCACGCTGCGAGATGCGGGCCTGTAGGTGTTTGGGTTTAGGGGGTTAAGGGCTTATACTACAGCTTTCTTCAAGTCAAGGGCCCTCATCTAGAGCTGCTGTGTCGAATTCTTTATGTAGGAGGAAATTCTCTCTCTTGAAGGTATGGCCAAGCTCCCCAGCACTCCGAGTATGGCCCGGGGCCGTATCAGCAGCCGCAGCCAGGCACTGGCGCTGGCATCTTTGTTTGCAGTAGTTTTGGGCTCATTGCTTTTTGTTTGAGGCAGGCGCTGGAAGGATTCAGGTTGTTTCTGGATACTTGGGTGTTACTCACGGATATTCGAGGGTATGTAGATACTACTTACTACTTTGTAACTAGTACACATAAAGTAAGCATGCAGGTAGATAGATGTAGTTATGTACATATATATATATATATACGCACAGACGAATTGGGCAGCTCGCCTACTCATTCAATATCCGGAGTGTCAGACCGTCAAGCTCCTAAACTCAGGCTCAAGCTTTCCGAATTTCGCAGCTTAGGGCTCAGAGTTTAGGGTTTAGGCCTTGGGGTCTAGGGTTCAGCGGACCCCAGGCCTAATATGTGAGGAACCTTGGGTGCGGCCGAGATTGATCCAGCGCCTCCCAAACCCTAAGCCCTATATAAGCCCTCTTAATTTTTAGGGTTCTTCCGAGGTTACTCCAACAACTTCCAGTCGTCCTACTCTTCAGCGCCGCCAGCCTACAGCTCCCAGCCGCCAGCCTACTCGCAGTACGGAGGAAGCATGGCCAACGACCCGAGGCCGGGAAATAGAGGGCCTTCGTAGTGGTAGAGTAATCAAGGTTGTTAACAGAGTTTCATAGTTAACGTAAGATCTTTGAGGCTTCATAGTAAGGGATTTAATATCTGGGAGTTCTGACTAGAAGAGGTTCCCGGGTACACCATAGATTATACAATATACTACAACTCCAAAAACATGTGAGAAATACTAGGCCAGTCAGTGATTCAGACCCCTATACTACCACAAAAGGTCGACTCAGAGACCGACGCTTTCGGGTTGCTAGATGGTTGGGCTGAGCAAGTCAGTGTGAACTGAGAGTCGACTGAAACCCTAACCCCTAAACCCCTAAACCCTACTGACGTTCGTGTTGTATGCCTTCCAGCTGTCTCTGCACGAACTTGTGGGCTTCGTTGCCGGTAATCCGCCCGACAGTTGTTGCAGAAAGGGTTCCAGGGTTCAGGGCTTTTCGATGGGCACTTGTATGGAGTAACATGTTATTTTGCATTTGCCGCAAAATTTTCTATCTACATACATACATACATACATACATACACAGCTACGTATATTGTAGCGAAGTGTTAGTTCGTTTTTCGCGACATGGGTGTCTGTGTATATATATAGATATATGTATATATATATATATGTCTATCTATGTGTGTGTGTGTGTTTAGGAAATCATTCACGAACCCCTTTCTTGATGTACCGTCCCTCCCCAGACCGACCTGATCACTTATAAGAGGGAGACTTACACCAGCCATAGCAACGATTCCGAGCATAGAAACCCTACTGTCTACTATGGCCTTACACAAATCCTAACAATGTGCCCTAAACCGTTCCTTCCCAGCTATGCCATGCCAGGTCCGCAGCTCATCTTCACGACCCATTCGCAGCTTGGCACGCGACATGTGCTTTGGAAGTCGGACCCTGAACCCTGAACTTTTGCACCCCTCAAACTCCAGTGAGTCAATGGTTACACATCTGTTGCCACAGCGGTCATGAGCCTCCTATCTCGAACATTAGCAAAGTGGCAGTGTCTTGGCATCGCAAACCCTTGAGGATTGGACCCTAAACCTGAGCTCTCAACCCTTGCATTGGCTGACCCACAGCTTCCTCATTAAGGACTTCCCGAAGGTACAGGTACTCGCAAGAATACCTGTACTATACCCGCTGCTGAGCTAGGCCCAGCCACGTGCGGGAGCGATGCCGCAGACTCGGATCAAGCTCTGGCTGAAGGTTCAGAGCTTCTGATTTTTGAAACTCCGAAGGGTTTCGATAAGCGGAGGAAGGCCACCGAGGTTTAGCAAGTGGACTCAAGATTGGAGGTTGATGGTGATGTCTGTAAACCGCGATGTAAGCGGCGACTGTCCTTTAAAGGTTGGAGAAAACGTTACAAACTCTTCTGAGGCCTCCGCCGCCGCCCCCGCCGGCACCTGGGCGGGGTGCGCCGCCCGGCTACCCGGGAGGCGACTGCTTGGGGACCTTAGAACCACAATCTATAGGGTTTATAGAGGTTAGGGTTTGCGGATTTGGGGTTTGGGCTTAGGGTCTAGGGATTTAGGGTTTACGGTTTAGGGTTGGACAAAGGAGGCCACCAACACAACTGTAGTTGAACTTACCGCCTTCATGGGGATGTCACTAGGTTCCCGTTTGAGGTTCTCGATTCCGGGGAACTCTGCTGAACCACATCAGGCTCCCAGGTAGGGTCGAAGACGTCCGCAGCCAACACGAGTTGAGACTCACCCACAGGTACCAACAATCTGGATCAGGGTAGTTATGATCAGCTCTATGAACCAGAAAGCCGAAACTAGGCGTAGGCTGTATCTGCCCCTAAAGGCGGCTTCGGGGCACCGACGCCGCAGGACCGACTGGTTGTTTGGGAGCCCGGCAGAGGTCGAATTTTGCCCTAAGCCCGAAGCACCACCTGGACCTTGACCCTACACGAATGAATATATATAGATATATATATATATATACATACCCTAAGCCAATACACTTGTTGAGTAGCTACTTGTTACATAGGTATGGGAAGGAGGCCTCCCGCCTGTTCCCAAGCTCAATGTGTTAGTTCTACCGTTGACGCATTTCTACAAAATAATGGTTACCGAGTATCGGTCCATGAACCCTTTGAGCTAATCCGAGGCCTTGAAGGTGTGAGAATCTTTCTGGGGGAGTCCAAAACTTCGTGGCATGAATAAGTTCATGATATGGTCGAAGAATCCACTGCAACATCGCACTGCCTGCCGGAGCACGAAACCCCTAAATTCCCTGCACCCTGCACTCGCTTCATCGGACTTGATCAGTGCAAGCACGGGCCCTGAACCCTGTAACAAGACCCTTTCAGAACGAGGGGTGCCATGGTAGATTGGAGCTCCTGGCTTCAGGTCTTGAAGATTCAGGGTGCAGGGCTATGCAGGGCTATGGTGAAGAGGGTCGACTGAAGCGGAAGCTATGAGGTGCCTTGAATTGAAAGCGGAGTTTCAGAAATTAGGAAGCATATCTGTAAATAGTAGGATCCTTGATATAATTATAAGGACCCCCTACAAGGGACCCAGACGGCAGGAAGAAGGTGAATTTTTCCTTTGTAATCTAAAAAGTGTTAAGATATCGTCTCAAAGTGTTTCGCTACACATGCACAAACACGATCGCTCAAAAGTCCCAACATCTCGCAGCCATTGGCCTATGATTCGGGTGTTGAGTTCTGCGGCTTCGACATACATGTTGTTTCGGTCTCGTGTTTAAGACCCTCAGCCTGCGACAGTGATCAGCGTGGCTGTAGAAAGGCAAGCCTGAAGCCCTTGGCCCGCAGGCATACTCCTCGTACAGTGCCGCTCCCTGTCCGTCTTCTTCTCCGCAATACCGAGGCTGCTGCCTCGTGCTGATTACACTCCTTGGTGATACTGTGATGGTTTTCGAAGTCTGGCTTTGGGGAACGAGGGTCAGGACGACGGTGATGTGTGATGATGATGATGATGACGATGATGATAACGATGATGACATTGGTGGTGGTGGTGATGATGATGATGATTTTGACATTGATAATGTTGTTGATGGTGATGGTGCTGATGAAGATGGTGATTGTGATCATGATGATGATGATGACGACGACGATGATGATGATGACGACTGCCAACATGTTTATTTCGAGATGGATACGAAGCTTAACAATTTGGCTATGCTTCACGGCAATGATGATGTGATGGTGTGATCTCCGTTCTGATGAAAAACGAAAAGTATGATTATGGGTGTGGTGTTGTCCTAGTAGAATCCTGGTGCTATTGCCCACTTGATGTTGAAGATTAAGTATGATGATGCTAATGATGGGCTTCATGATGATGGTGATGGTGATGAGGATGATGATGAATAAGAAGATCACGATGATGATGATGATGATGATAGGATTGGCGTAGATTAGAATGTCGGTGTCCGGGTCCTGGTATGCCGGAGGCAGTTCTCGGTATTGATTGCATCTGGCATGGTTCTACTTTGGGTGTTCTGCGCCTTTCTCTGGGGAGCGCATGTCTTATGAATGTAGCGAGGATGAAGAGCCTCAGCTCAGATGATGTCGCGTGAAGATGGACAGGAACCCAGCTGCCAACAACCTGTGCTTTCATATTCAAGTCCCCATAGACTGGAAACTGTTGCTGCTGTAGGAAACTCAACAGCCCACATGGCACCCAAGAGCATGTAATGTAGGACCTGATACAGAAACCTTGCGTTCTAACTAAGCCTCCCACCAACAAAACGACAGAGTGTAGGATCTATATTCAGAGCCCTTTCACAGAATACTTGTTTCTTGCTCAGGTTCCTACAGTCCCTGAACCTGGCAAGCCCTTTCAAGCCCTAAACCCTAAAACCATGCTACCACACTTAGCCCCAACGAAGCCAAAATCCTAAATTCTAAACTCTTGTGGGCGCTGCAAGGCCGCTATTGAGCGAGCCATCGTCGTTCACACGGAGGCCTCGTAAACCGTTTAGGTCTCATGGTTCAGGGCTTGTGGTTAAAAAGCTCGAGTGGACGTTGGGCCCTACGCTGCACTTCATAGTAGCTGTGCCTCTGTTTTACGTCATTGCTACCCTGCTACCACACCCTAAACTAAATCCTAAATTCGGAAGCATTGTCTCAAAACACGGAAGCTTTTAAATCGAATGCACTCATGCCACAGCCGCGAAAGTGTTCAGCTCAGGGAAGGCTTTCAGTGCCTTACTTGGGAGCAAATTCAGGGGTCCTGTGGAACGGGAGCTTGATGCTCATGCAGCGCTCGCCTGCAAAAGAAGGCCCAAGCCAATCGGAGCGCATCAGTAGCAAACGAAAGTCCATTTTTTGTGCTGAAGACAGTAGCACTGGCATGTTCCTGCTTCTGATCGCTCATCGAAAAATCATTCCGGCGATTGCTACTGCTAATGATAGTTGTCCTGAAATATTTATTCCACGGACTCTCAACCCCACACCCCTCTCGCGCACTATCAAGACATGGCTGGTGTTTATGCTCAACCTGGATCTTTCTCCCCTTCCCAAGCCCTGCAAGCTTGCCGAGCTGCGGTTAAGACTTACCCAAACCACGAACCTGAGCCATAACCATGCCAGGCTTCCCTGCCGCTTTTGCCAATGACCGGTCGAAGATTTGTGCACCATTTTGCGCTACTTACTTGCTCGGAGGCATTTCGTGACTACTTAATGCGAAGCTTGAAAAGTTAGTCTAGGGTGATGGTTCCTGTCTACCCATGTTCAACCGCTCGGTGCTTCTCCGTTCCGGCGGGGCTCTTGGTGAGCTTCCCATCCTGCAATCTACTTGTATATGAGGGTTCCAGCTAAGAAGGGAGGTACCCCTGATCTCAAGACGCCCGCTGTAAACCCTTGTCAAAGTTTACGAAGAAGCCCTTCGCACCTCATTCAGCGACCCAGATCATCCCAAACGTTGTCGTCCGATCGAAGATCCTACGGTGCACGGCTTTACTTACATTGTAATTCTTATTCATCTCCCTGGTTGAACATTGGATCCGGAAGTCAGGAGACCAACTTGTCTAAGGTGCACGGTTTTCAGGCT